ATTGATTACGTGTCCATCACCTGTCAATCACCTACTGATAACCTGACAGTGACGAGTCCCCAGCTGAAGGTCTGATGATTCTTTGAAGAGCATCTTTCCTCGTTGTTCCCTCCAGTGAACTTCTCACCTGGACGTAGTGATGTCACAGTGTATGACAGCACACTGTGACATCACTACAGGTGGTTCCTGGTGCTGCAGGGGAATGGTCAGTTTCTATTGGTCGTTCAGCTGGAGATCAGCTGTGACCTGTAATGAGCAGATGTCCTGATCCTGTGTCTGTCTCTTAGTCGTCCATGAGGTGAATGGTGAGGACGGCGTCCACCTGCTCAGCTCCTCAGAGGTGGATGAGCTCATCCTCAAAGCAGACGAAGCTTTGATGATGTCACAGACTGCTTCCACAGTGACCTCGATGCCAACAGTGGAGTACCAGGAGGAGGCGGAGCCAGAGCTGCCACACGTCTCGGTGGAGATCACAGGGCTGGAGGCGGAGCCAGAGCTGCCACACGCCTCGGTGGAGATCAAAGGGCTGGAGGCGGAGCCTCACTCCAAGCCAAGTGTGGCGGAGGCCAGCGCAGAGAACCCGGTGACCATGGTGTTCATGGGATACCAGAGTGTGGAGGACGAGGCTGAGACCAAGAAGGTGCTGGGGCTGCAGGGGACGGTGACGGCCGAGCTTGTGCTCATCGACGACAGCAATGGAAAAACGTTACCAGGAGAAGGAGGGATGGATGATGGCGACAGCAGAGCCCAGATCACAGCACCGCATCCATCTGCCTCCGTCACCTCCACCCCACTGACAACCTCCAGACCTCCAGTGGCGACGCCAGCAAGTAACAGGGAGTTGGCGGGAGAGGCCGAGGGAAGAGTGGTGGAGTTAAAGAAGGAGAAACAGGCATGTAAGTGCTGCAGCATCATGTGATCCTGAAGGGGGCGCTGCTTTACAATATAATAAATTAATAAAAGTAAAACTTAAACTCCATCCACTAACCTACACCATGCCTCTAACATTACAACGTCACTTCTTGCTTCCTGATAAATAAAACCAGGCACATTTTTTTGTATTTTCTGAAGCTTTTTACTTTTGTACTGGTCATGTTGAGACACCTGACGTAGCAATTAGCATTTGCATCAGGGTTAGCGTTAGCTTCAGGGTTAGCATTTCTGTCAGGGTTAGCATAAGCGTCTCATTCATCTGTATCAACTCTGCTGCTGCTTCTGGTTTTATAAAATAAAAGTTCCTTGAGACTCAAACGCTTCAAATTCAGTCTGTCCCCTCAATCAATCTATCACATGTGATTTGTCTGATCGATGCTCTTAACTCAACAAGACTAAAACTACCAGAGACACTCTGAGCAGGAAATGAAGCTCATCTTCTATTCAAATATTTAACAGGAACAGGAATGAAGATAATTTAATTTGAGTTATGTTTAGATTGCTGCCACACTCCAGTCCAGAAGGTGGCGGTAATGCCCGTATAAGCTGGTTATTGCCAACCGCCAATAAACAGCAGAAGAAGAAGCAGCAGCAGAAGAAGAAGAAGAAGAAGAAGAAGCAGCAGCAGAAGAAGAAGAAGCAGCGGCAGCAGCAGAAGAAGAAGAAGCAGCAGCAGCAGAAG